GGTACATCTGCTGGAGAAGCTGTTGCAGCAGTAGGAAAAGGAGGAAACAAGAAGAGTAATAGAAGAGTGAAGAGGCTGTTCAAGGGGTGGGGGAAAGCAGCAAGGACTACTTTCTTTAATAGTCTTGGAAAAACAACACAGTGGAGAAGCTGAAGAGCATAAGGTGACTTGCTGCCTTTGGTTTAGAGGAATGTGTATGTGAGTGACATGGCTCTTTGTACACCGTGAGATGCACTTCAGAAGTTTCAGGAGCTCTTGGTATTTGAAGAATCCTTTTGTGTTTAGCTTGCATTGAAGGACTTGACATTGGTGAGACCCAGTCATTATTCAACCCAGGAAGGTTTGAAATTCTTCTTTTGAGAATGTGGAGTGAAATTTCTGTTTTCGTGTCTACTAAGAATTCTTTTGGCATGGACCAAAACTGCTTTTTGTAACTACTGGGGGCAGCCAGGTGATTTACTTTAGAACCACAGTACTTCTCCAAACCTGAACTGTTAATACAGATGTAGTATTTGTGTGGTGGCTGGGTAAAAATAAAGCCATGCTCGCTGGGGGCTTGCATTTGATAGAAGTGTAATTTAAGCCCAGATCTTCAAAGCTGAAAAGCTACTTGAGTTTTTTATTATATCACTTGGTCTAAAGTGATTTTATTACTGAAATGTCAAATATATTAAAGTGATAGAGCAATCTTAAACTTGAAGAAAAGCAGAGAAATAGCATGCTGGTAGGAAAATAGCAACTGTAAAATCTTGAGTCATAAAGTATGCTGTCTTAACATAAACCATAAATAACAACACACCAGAACAAAGTGGAAGGTTTCATGGGTTTTAATAGTTTAATGAGATGTCACTACTGCCTCTTCCCGCCCCTCTTTTTAGAAAGAGTGATTGCTTGGAGGTTTCACGGTAGGGCAATCTTAAGGGCAATGTAAACCTGCTTTATGATGTTCTCTAGTCTTCCAAATAGGTGCAGATAGAGACAGTGTTTTATTATGTATTAGGTAGTCCAAATGCTCCCTGGCTGTCAGAAGGATGAAGAAAAGGGCACAAGGAAGATCATAGATACCCATGTATTGTATCGGGTTATTGTCTTCAGTGACATTAAACTCTCTAGGGTGGAGAGGTTAAGTGCAGACAAGTGATTACTGAGTTGGCATGGAAGACATGTGGTTCCTGTCTGCCGCATGATACATATGTTCTGCTTTAAGTACACTTAAACCCGTGATAGGTTTCAATAGAAATGACTCAAGTACATGCAGATCTTTTCACTGTCTCCCTCCTACAGCCAGGTGCCAAAGTTATATAGCTTGTATACAAGCACTGGGAATCTTCTATTACAAGATTACTAATTATGGTCTTTAAAAGATGCCTCTTTCCTTTAGCAGGCAAACATTGCCTTTTTCATCATTATTAATAATTGTAAAATAATAATAATGAATAATAATACTCATCCATTGTATTTAACTATTTATTGCCTACTATCCACACTTACACTGAATATGCAATTACTCATTAAATACTGTTTTCATTGCCTCTGGCCTTTTTGTCAGCACTTTCCTTGAGAGTCTCACAAGCAGCAAAGATAAGGATTAGTTTTCTCAATTCTTTGAGATAAGGTGATATTAGCTCTATGTTACAATGAGTTTGCAGATTTTAATGCATTCCCAGCAGGAAGTACAGAAAAAGAATTTATCTTTGGAAGTAGCGTTGTTATCCTTACTTACAATTACTTTCACCAATCCTATCTAGAAATGACTGTAAATGCTGGTGATACAGCCATAAATTCTAGTTGTGTACATGACCAGGGCTTGTTGATTTTTGTTGGGTTTCAATAACGTATGTCAGTTTTATAGAGCATTGATCGGTATGAATAGGTCTAGAATTAAAGATATTTTCTTTTGATAATCAGTAACATTTCATATAAGAGGTCTGTTTCAAATCATATACATACCTCAGTTTGTGTGAATTTTCATCTCAATATGGTGATGACTTTGCCTTATAAACATATTCTCTCTTGCAGCTGAAAATAACAACAGGGATTTGTGCAATGTTTATAAAAAATGGAAACTGTGCTGTTATCTTCTGATGTAAGCATGCATGCTTGGGGCTTCTATGTTTCCATTTCCTTAAATCCTCAGGCAGAAGTGTAGAAATATGCGTGGTTTGATAGTGGATGAACTGTGTATTTAATGGAAGTGCAGGTCAGATGCATCTGGAGCTTCTGGATGTTAGTGTCTCAGGTTGCTGAAAGTCTGAATATGTATTCCCACTGAAGAGAGAAGCAGTGAGTAATGCTATATTAACCTCTTCAGTATGTGTATAGTGTATATACTAGATAGGCTTCTAGGATTGGATATAATTGCCCCAAGTTTTCTTGAATATGACCATAAAAGAAAGAGCCTATTACCTACAAATCTTGAAAAGTAGCAGTGGTACTAGAATTTGAAATATTAAGCTGGAATAATGTAACTCTTTAAATACAGAAAACTCAAATTTGATGAATAATACAAATGAAAATAAAACATTTCGAAGAATATCTACCCTCCTCAGTAGCTCATCCTTGAAAAAGAGGGTCCTTCCCTCCTGTCCTACTTGCCCAACATATATTATTGGCCTAGGCTGCTCCCATTGCTTGCATTATTTGCTGGGTCACTGAAAACATCTCTTACTGCTTCTGAAGCTTGGGTATTTTCTGTTCTACAGGCAACATCTCCCTGCTGCTCTCAGGAGTTTGTCTCTCCTTTCCTTTCTCTCCAGCCTTACAGTACCAGAAGAAAAGGGTCTTTCATGAGACTAAATTTTACTTAAAACCTTATCTATGTGATATAATGAATAGATAAGGAATAATACTGTACAGGTAGGATGTGAGGAATTCATATATGAGTAGATTCATGTTACATTGATAGTGAAAGAAACTGGAATGTTTAAGCTTCTTAAGTTTATTGTAGTATTTTCTAGTGAATGGCAACTTCTTAAAGAAGAGCTTTACTACTGTAGGGGAGAACTTACAGGTTCCCCTGTAAGACAGAGCAACTCCTTTGTTCTGAACTTAGATTTGTATGTCTTCAAATATCCCAAGAACTTCCTAGAGAATTTAACTTTTTAGTCTTATCACTAACGTAAAACTATTGCAAGCAAAACTCATGTTCTTGTTATGTCTGACTGGTGTGTAACCATGCTTATGGAGTATTCCAGCTCACTACTTCCTCGGACGATTCTACTTCCATTCTGTTTCCCATTAGCTTATAAGTCTACTTTGTTTCTTCTTAGTCTAAAGTTTTTCCTGTTAACTTATTAGCCTATGTTTTGTGCACAGTTACGTGCACTTTTACCTCTATTACTTATACGCCTCTACACAGTGGTGTCTAATTGAAAATTTTAAAGACAGTGAGCAGGTTTAGATACTGTTACACAGCTGTCAACCTCTGGAACTTGAGAACCCCCTGAGGGCTGAGTTCATTCAGTTTCTTTTGGGGAATTAGTAATTTGCTTTTGCCTTAGAAGATGCCACATTTCCATGTTGCAACAAGCAGGTTGGGACAAGTACACAGTGCTTGTCACAGGTTCCCACGCTCACTCTACCAGAACTTACTATGTGGTAAATTGTCTGTCTTGGTGTACTAATGAAATATTGAATACTAGTTTTGTGGCAGAATATTATACACTGTAAAGGTAATAAATTTTTTCTCATGGTGATGTAGATGGCTGACATTGCTGCTGATCTATCACATTTCATAGAATCATAGAATGGTTTGGGTTGGAAGAGACCTTAAAGATCATCTAGTTCCAACCCCCCTGCTATGGGCAGGGACACCCTCCACTAGACCAGGTTGCCCAAAGCCCTATCCAGCCTGGCCTTGAACAGTGTTCCAGTGCCTCACCACCACCACAGTGAAGAATTTCTTCCTTATACCTAATCTAAATCGACCCTCCTTCAGCTTAAAGCCCTTACCACTTGTCCTGTCACTACATGCCCTTGTAAACAGTCCCTCTCCAGCTTTCTTCAGGTACTGAAAGGCTGCTTTAAGGTCTCCCCGGAGCCGCCTTTTCTCCAGGCTGAACAACCCCAACTGTCTCAACCTGTCTTCATAGCAGAGGTCCTCCAGCCCTCTGATCATCTTCGTTGCCCTCCTCTGGACTTGCTCCAACAGGTCCATGTACTTCTTATGTTGGGGGCTCCAGAGCTGGACGCAGTACTCCAGGTGGGGTCTCACGAGAGAGGAGTAGAGGGGCAGAATCACGTCCCTTGACCTGCTGGTCACACCTCTTTTGAGGCAGCCCAGGACACAGTTGGCTTTCTGGGCTGCAAGCACACATTGCTGGCTCATGCTTTGCTTCTCATCAACCAACCAATTTATTGAGTTCCAGTCCTTTGCTGCCATGCACGGTCTGTCTTCAGGCCTCTGCATACCAAAAATGAAAATCTGAAAGTGAGAGGAAAAATGATTTCTTGAGTCTAAACTTATTTCTCTGAGTTTGTATTTACATTTGGTTCATGGGATAAGATTTCTTGTCTCAGGTTCTGAAAAGTTTACAACATTGCAGTAGAGAAAATATTTCTACATATTGATTTGTGTTTCAAACTTTAGCTAGTTAGGACAGAATTTGTGTTATGAAAAGCCCTGTATACATCCATTCTTAAAAGCTAAAATTGAGAAATATGAGCAGTTATCTGGATAAAAGAAAGAATAGTTAGAGTGTCATTTAAAATTTTGCACAACATTGCAATTGATTTTTTGCTCTAATGTGTAAAATAGCTTCAGTGCATTCTCATTGTACCAAAAAAAAAACCCACCCCAAAAAGTTTTACAGTGGTTTTTTTGCAAAAAGGAAATTGTCCTAAATTTATTGAACCTGGATTGCATCGTTCATCGACTTTCTGTATCATACTGCCTTATCTCCTTAATGTCCTGGGCCTGTTGCTGGTGTGAAAGTATTTTTTTATGGGGTAACAGCAGATCTGGAAAAAAACTTTTTAATATGTTGTGAATGTTTTGTCAGTACAGGTCTCCAAGTTAGCTGATGTCATGGTCAGACATGGTGTGAAGAAAGGCGATCGTGTGGTCATCTACATGCCCATGATTCCACAGACAGTGTACTGTATGCTGGCTTGTGCAAGAATAGGAGCCATCCACAGCCTGATTTTTGGTGGATTTGCATCTAAAGAACTTTCTGTTCGCATTGATCATGCAAAGGTAATAATGTATTTGGAACAACAAACACCATTGCATTAGTTATTCATATAAATCAATGTCAAACCCCCTTTTATCCAGAGAGGATAACACTTGTCTTTGTGTGGCACGCAGTCTCGATTTGTTTATAATACCTAACATTGAAATGTGAACAAAGTACTACATCTGTGCTGAGAGTGATACTTTTATAGCAGACATTGAGATACAAATTTTGACCTCTTTTAAAAAAGCATGAGTTTAACATGCTGTTCTGTTTACAGGATACGTTATTCTTCCATTTGTCAATCTTTGTCTACAAAGCATCACGTTGAAATTGGCTTTTCACACAGCATTTTCCTCAAGTGTGCAAGGAAAATGCTGCCAACTCTGAATGACTTTATTGGTTCATTTGATGTTTATACATATTAGGTAGTACGTTTTTCAGCCCTATAGCTACTTCATCTACGTTGTACGTGAATCAAGGCAGCTAGGGAACCAGCTGTCTTAAGTGACTCTGCAGAGAACATAATTAATAGAGGTGAATGCTTCAGAGGCTTCCATGGTTAGCACAAGTTGAGCTTGTTTATGACATCTTTGTAACTGAAAATGCAAATAATACTTTAATAACCTACTTAGTAGCTGATATGTGCATATTAGTAGCTTGTGTGTGCGTTAGTTTCAAACCAGCTAACAGTGTTTGTACTGGAAGTTTCTGTTCTTGTTTTCTACCAGTGAACGAGACAAAAGTCTTCGTCATCTTGCTCAGTCACCTGGATCATTAAGACCATCCATGGTAGCCATCTATCACCAAATCACGTTCATTGGGTGTGTAAGCCAAAACATTATGGGAGGTAAAGTCCACAAGATTTCTGGAACTTAGATTTTTGTGTACAGAAGTGCTTTTCAGATCCCCAAGGCTTGAATTTTATGAATTATTTGTAAATAGAAAGTTGAATCCATTTCCCCTCCTCCCTGTTGATGTTTTAACAAAGTAAAAGTTAATAAAAGGGCTGAAATGGTTTGTTGGAATCGTGAAAAAGAGCTCGGGGAAGACTAATGACAGCTCCATAGTTTTCCCTGACTTTCCTCCCGCTCCCTCACTTTTTCAACGAGTTGTAAAAATTAATTTTAACTTATAGAAGCTTTTGATTAGGGAAAAATAATGTAGAAGAAAAAATGATAGACTTTTGAAATGGAAGTTGCTACAATATGAATCATCTAGCATGTTTACTTTTAGAGTGTTTTGCAAATATTAACTAATTAATCCCAATGGACTTTCTCTGAGGAACAAAAGGAGACAGCATAGTAACCATAATCCTTGCTTCATGCATTAAAAAGTAAGCAGACAAAATTTAAGTGATTTACCCAAGGTCACACAACAAGTCTTTTGCAGGGTTAGCTATTGAATTACTAGCTACAGGCCATCGATTAAATTCTAATTTACATTGCCTTTTTCTTTTTTCTTTAAAAGGCACATCTAGATATTTTGGATGATTTTTCGTCCAAATGAAAGTGTAAGTAAGGAGGAGAGACACATCCTCAATCTAAATTTCAAAACATGCCACAATTTTGCAATGCTGTAAAGCTTTTGAGATTATCTTAAGATATGTATACAAGTAGCTGTGATAGATGGTATTCTGCTGAACTCAGGAATTAATTGAAGCAGTCTCAAAAAACCCTAACCTTTCTATTAGGCTTTTATGTGAATTGGTTTAGATGCTGCAGTACAGGACCCAATATTGGTAAGATTAATTAGAAAGAGTTAAAGATGCGCTGTGAGATGCTTTTGTGGAAGAGAGGTCAGACTTCACTTTTATTGTAAGATCTAAGTGAAAGAAATAACAAGCACTTTCTAGTGACTATGAAAAGGTACATGCACTTTACCAGCTTACCTTAATTCATCTTGAATTTTAAATAGGTCTGGGAATGCTTCAAAGTCCTGCAGCTGATAATTTTTACTCTTGTCAGGTATTGGCAGTTACAGATGTTCTGCAGCGAATTGTGATGAAGTGATACAGAGCATGAGAACAGGCATTTCTTGTCATGTTTCTTTTCACCTGAAACTGGGAATATATAGTTTGCAATATCGAAACAATAGGTACTTTTGAAGGACCTTACCTATATTTTGAGAAATTAACATGACATCTGTTTAAGCACTTTATGTTAGTAAACTAGGAAAACTGAGAAGAATACTTAACAATATGCTTATATGCCTATTTGATAGGGTAGCTGCTATGCCTTCAACAACCAAATTTTCTCATGTTTTTTCAATCACAATAATTATATGCAATTCCAGAGGGCTTTTTAGACTTTAAGTCCTAACTCTGCAAAATAAAATGGAAGTAATGGAGTTTTTCAGACATGTGATTTTTGAAAACACTTTACTAAAGCAGTATTACAATTTGCAAGTGAACAACAATTCTTTGAAATACAAAATGTACGAAACACTCAAGTTACTCAAAACTATCTGTTACTATCTTCCATTGCGGTAAGAAATTCTGTATTTCTCACTTATTTACATTTAACACATTTGGAGATTTTAATAAGGTTTCCTTGAAAAAATAAGCTAATATTTTGTAATAGTTTATTCTGAACAAGGCAATTCCTGGGCACAGGTAAGGCTCTTAATGGTCACCCCTGCTTCTCATCATAAGATGATCCAACCTTTTGAGTGATTAGGCAGCACGCTCAGCTGCTGACACTTGAGATGCACAATTGCCTTATAATAGTTGCAGTCTGGTCTTTTCTAGTCTTGAAGCACTGTTTATTTTTTTGATTATGTATTGTAGATTAGAAAGGATTATCTTGCTTTTTACTTTTAACTACTTTTATGGTATGATTCAGGTCTCTTTCTTTAGAGCACTGTTTGATATCTGGTAGAACTACATGTGCATGGCAGTCTGACATGGATCTTCTAACCACAAAGCCAGAGCAGTACCAGCAGGTGCAGCAGAACTATATAATGACTGCATAAGCACTGGATTTCTTTCAAATGCCTGCTACTTTTTTTAAGGAGGAGGGAGGCACAACAAAAGTGCAGTATGTTTTAGTATAGGCTTGTGATCAGATGTGTTGCTGTGGCACAAAGAGAAGAGAGCTGTGTGTGTTGAATGGTGAGGGTCTGAGTGCTGGATCTCTCTGTAAACCACTTCATGACACTCCTGACATTTTGTGCCCCAAAGGTAGCCGGTTTTTGGTTTGGGCTTTTTGCAGCTTTATTAGTTGGCCCAATAAAATGTATTACTGCTTTTTCTAAACTTTGCCTTGTATGCTGTTAGAGACTATAGAAAAATTTGTAGGAGCTGTCTTTATAACAGAATAAAATCACTGGTCTGGTATTATTGGGCCTTTGCGTTACCTCATTTCTACTTCTTCATATTGGTGGGGTTTTTTTCCTACAGCTCACTATTGCTGGCATTCCTTCTCCAGCAAACCGTTGAAATTTCCTGGTTTTCCTTCAAACTAGCTATATTTCTATCTAATCTTATCGTGCAGGACTACATGGAGTCATAAAAGACGTGGGAAATGGGTGTATAAAAACAATATGGGAGCAGAGATGCAGAGGAAGTAATGTCAGTAGGCAGAGAGGTAAAACACTAGAAAACAGCAGTTAAAGCCAGTGATGGACCATGGATTTGCCCAGAGTGATCCATGATACTTCCAAGCAGCAACCCTGACTTGAGAAACACATCACCTTAGCCAATTTAGTATTGGTTATTTTTAAACTTCCTTACTGCATACAAAGCAGTTGATGAGCAGAGGTGACACTGTTTACAAATGACTGTAAACCCGGTGTTGACAACAGTCTTTCATTTTAACAATTGAATAGAACTGTGTTAATATCTGACATTAATTACAGTCTAATTTCAGGGTAACCTCCAGATGAATTTTCAGTTTAACTGCATTGTATCATCTTTTATTAAAATCAGCGCATCCTGAAAGATGACAAATGCTGAAATTTTAAAGCTCCTCATAAATCTTTATTTTGAATACAAACTAATTAGCAAACTTTCCTGACTGACAGATTTGGACTGGAAACATTTTGTTACTGCACAAGAAAACAATTTAATCTGTGTTTTCTGTGCTGAGTTTAATGCAGCCTTAACTGTGGCATTGTGGTTTGTGCCTACTTAATGAGATTTATGCTAATGCATACAATTAGTAAACTAGCTTGATCAGACTGAGGGGCGTAGATGAATATACTTCTAAAACTCCAAAAGCAAGGAGATTGAAGACTCATTCTAACACAAAGTTTCTTTGGTGTTATCTTCTATTTCCTGAAATAGAAGAAATAGAAATACTGGTCTTGGGACCTAAGTCAAAATAGTTTGTGTACAGGTTTCTTGACTTAGGAAATCTTACATAAAACTTGAGGTTAACTTAATGACAAAGATGCAAAATCCACATTTGGAAATAGAAGTTATTCTAAAAAAAATCTCAGAACTGCGGAAATCTGATTTTTAGTGGTTTTGCATTCTGAATCCTGCAACCATCACTTGAAAGACTTTAATTCCCTAATGTGCCTTATGACTTTAGCTTATTCTCTTCCAGTATTTCTAGTTTCCTGTCATCTCATTTGCTGCCTTTTTCCTCTTTACCCTGTTTTCCCTCCCATGCCAGTTAATTGCAGGCTGGATGAGAGCCAGCAAAGTGCTATAGCTGGTTTTGAAGTATGCCATTGGGTACAGGCAGATAATTAGAAAGCTGGCTAAACAGGACAGGTAATTGTTGGCATCATTGTACCACTTTTCCTTAATGGAGGGGCTAAAATGGAGATGGAGTTTTCTCTCTGTTCATTAATTGTTGTGCAACTTCCAAGAATTTAATACTGTTGATTTTTTTACTCAAATTTGGTTGAAAATGGTGAAGAGTGTCAGAAGTTTAATTAGTGTGCTCCAGAATGAAAAACAGATGCATGGACAGCAATATCACGCAAGCTTGATTTCCTTAGAAACCTGATCTAAACCCCTGTTTCTGATTATGTGAAGATAAATTTTATACATTGAGCACCATTAATCAAAGAATTTAATGGAAAACATGTTATTAGTTTACATATATAAAATATATTGCAAATGTATATATTAACAGTCTTAACTTCTTTATTTTAGCCCAAACTTATTGTAACAGCAAGTTTTGGAGTAGAACCAAAAAGGAAAGTGGAATACATATCCCTCCTAGAAGGAGCACTGGCAAGGGTGCAGAACAAGCCTGATAAAGTTCTCATTTACAAGCGACCTAATTTGGTGGGTGTACAGTTGTGCCTTTACATTAACTTTCAGATGTCTGTGTAATGCACGTGCCTTTTCTCTTTTACAAGTAAAATTTCTGGTGTATCTGTTGTAGTTTGGTTTTGAATTTTATGAGGGAACTTTATATTCATAAGATTTAAATAGTAAATAGAACTAATGCAGCAGAGATTACTGTACAGAAAATTGAATAGTACATGCTTTTTGACCCACTTTCATTTATTCCATCTGTTTTTCTTTCAACACTTTTCTATTTTTCAATGAGCAGGGCCATGTTCCTCTTGCCCCAGGTCGCGATCTTGACTGGGAAGAAGAGCTTGCAAAAGCACAGTATTATAAATGTGTCTCCGTTCCCTCAGACCATCCACTTTATATTTTATATACTTCTGGAACAACCGGCTTGCCCAAGGTAAAGAACTATCTGTAGTCTAAGTGTTTGTGACCAACCTATTTGCAGTTCCTCTTGAGAAAATATTAAATTAAAAAGGTTGAAAATGTTTGCCAAAGCTCAGTGCTATAAGCATTGCTAGAAATGGATTAAGCTCATTTATTCACATTTCACTACTTTAAAGTCAGTGTCTAGGAGTGAATCACATTTGTTTATTTAAATAGCAGTAATATAAACTGCACTTACCTCAAAATGTTTATACAGTATAAACTTTTGGGCAGAATGTTTTTATCCTTTAATATCTTCTGTGTTTTAACTGATAAGCATAGTATAGTCACTTAATGGCAAGATTAGTTAATGTATCACTTGTGTGATAACATTTATTGCTGAATAGTCTTTGCTTATTCATTATTTACATATTGGCTAATCTTCCCATAGATAAGATATAATGAATGATATTAAAGATTAAATGGAATTAAGCATGTTCTGAAGGTTTGTGTTACTGAACAGTTCTGAGAACGTAAGTCCCATGAAAATTAAAGTTTGGACTGAGTAATTGAAAACTAATGTAGGGCATTGTTTGAAAATGTTTGCTTTCAAATGTCAATTAGTCTTAATGATCTATTTTTAAAAGATCTTATTTTAAAAGCAAACTCTTGAGTGTTTGCTTGGTACTTAGAATTCTCTTTTAAAGCGTAGAAGACAAGCTGAATATAGTTTTCTGGCGGTGGTCTTACCAATGCAAATTCAGAGACAGTATCAGACATCCCTAGATATGCTGTGCTTAGACTACTACTAGAAAATTATGTAATGATGAACTATAAAGTTCTATGCTGAACTATAAAGTTCAGAATCCGTGAGGAGTTAAGGGAAGACCAACATCAGTTTTGCTGAGAAAAATGTCTTCTGCCTTTGCCTTGAACATGGGCACATAAAAGCAACATATGTATCGTGAATTATTAAATTATATTGGTACAAGGTCCAAGATAAGATCCTTTGTTAAAACATGTATTTTCCTTGACTGAGAGTTGGGCAGAGAGGAACCAAATGAAATTCAACAAGGGCAAGTGTAGGGTCCTCCACCTAGGGAGGAATAACCCCATGCACCAGTACAGGTTAGGGGTTGACCTGCTGGGAAGCAGCTCAGCAGAGAAGGACCTGGGTGTCCTGGTGGACAACAAGCTCTCCATGAGCCAGCAATGTGCCCTCATGGCCAAGGTGGCCCATGATACCCTGGGTTGCATTAAGAAGAGCATGGCCAGCAGGTCGAGGGAGGTTATCCTCCCCCTTAACTCTGCCCTGGTGAGGCCACATCTGGAGTTCTGTGTCCAGTTCTGGGCTCTCCAGTTCAAGAAAGACAGGGAACTACTGGAGAGTCCAGTGGAGGGCTACAAAGATAATTAGGAGACTGGAGCATCCCTCTTATGAGGAAAGGCCGAGAGAGCTGGGCCAGTTTAGTCTGGAGAAGAGAAGACTGAGAGGGGATCTCATCAACACTTACAAATATCTAAAGGGTGAGTGTCAAGAGGAAGGGGCCAGACTGTTTTCAGTGGTGCCTAGCAACAAGACAAGGGGTAATGGGCACAAATTGGAACACAGGAAGTTCCACCTGAATATGAGAAAAAAATGTCTTCACTTTGAGGGTGACTGAGCACCGGAATAGGCTGCCCAGAGAGCTTGTGGAGACTCCTACTCTGGAGATACTCAAAACCTGCCTGGATGCGATCCTGTGCTACCTGCTCTAGGTGATCCTGCTTTAGGAGAGGTGTTGGACTAGATGATCTCCAGAGGTGCCTTCCAACCCCTGCCGTTCTGTGGTTTTATTTGTTTCAAAACATTTTATCTCAGAGATAAAAGTTTTCAGAGGTTTACTTCACTGTATTAGCTCTGCAGAGAAAAATATAGACACCTTGATGAATGAATCGTCCTTATGAGAGGGAGATTGCCAACTAGCACTAAGCTACTATGAATAACTTAATAAAATAACTTTTTTATTCATTTAAGGAACTTGTTTTTAAATGGTCATGCAAGTAAAATTACTTAGTTGTGACCTTCATAACAAAACTTTTGTTAATCTCAGAGCAGGGACTAAGTTAGAAGCTGAGACAAACAAAGACAATTTGCTTTCTGAAAATTGTGAAGTGTTAGCTAACCATTCTCTGCTGTGGCAGTCTCCATTTTAATGAGTTGATCTGTCTCCACAGTCCCTCATTTCTTGGAAAAGGCCTGAAAATGCCTGCTTCGTTCTATTAACTACACAGAAAGAATGTACTGTGCCTTGCACAGACAGCTGTATTGTAATGTCTGCACTGTAGACATTTGTTTGGTCAGATGAATCTCACCTGAATTTTAGTTCAAGACATCAAGACATAATTTACTTAATTCTTTCTTCTAGAAACAGTGTGCTAGAAGGTGATGAAATGTATATTAAACACACAAATAGCACAAAATATTTCAAATTTTTTCCAATTAACAGTGTTCCAGAGCCTGTTTTTGGCTTACCAAAGTGATGCTATTGATACTCTGTCATTCTAATTTTCAAATCCCTCTTTTAGACTAAGACTGGGAAGTTCTTCATTTTGCATTTGTATGTATACTTAAGGCTAGAAAAACCTTTCGAAAGTAGACATCTGGTTTAAGCCAATTTTCTGAGATTTGTAAAAAGAGTCCAGAAAGAGGGTTACATTTCAGGGAGTATATTTACCCCAGTTATTTTAGGGATCAGCTACTCCACAGGTGCTCCTCTTTTCCAGTGATGATACAGAGAGACTAGGCAATAAATTTAAAACATGCCTAGCATTTAGATGGCCACAATTTAAGTGAGGTAAACACTCATCTCTTATTTTTTGTCAGCATATGTTGACTAAATATTTGTATATCTGATTTTAATGACAAAATTCTAGTCTTTGTTAGTTATCTTTTGAATACTATTGTCATCTAGGGCTTGGGTTGGGTTTTTATGTTTGTTTTATTGTATGCTTGTTTGTTTGTTTGTTTCCTTTCCAAAATTACTTCTTCAGTGGGAATGCTAGCACAAGCACGTACTTGTTGGAATGGATCCTTTTCCTAAGTGAGGAGTATTGGAATTAGACAGCTCTTAAGTCTATTGCTGCTAAAAAATTCATTGAAGACAGGAATATCATTGCATACTTCAAATGATCTTAAATATTCAAATTTTCTCATTTAGGGTGTTGTCAGACCAACAGGTGGCTATGCAGTTATGCTGAACTGGACAATGTCAGCTGTATATGGACTCAAATCTGGTGAGGTAATTCTGTTTAAATGTCAGGTAAATGTGTTTGAACTCCTCTTAAAAACTCTCCACTGTATTTATGTGTTTATTTCTTTTTAGGTGTGGTGGGCAGCTTCTGATTTAGGCTGGGTTGTTGGTCATTCATACATTTGCTATGGGCCTCTCCTACATGGGAATACTACAGTTTTGTACGAGGTATGATCCATTCTGAAAAGCCAGCCTTTGAAAAGGCAGCTTCTCTTCCTGTTGATGATGCTGATGATCCTGTTTAGGCCTGTCCATTCTTCATGCCATATATATTTAAATAGTGTGTATGTCTTTGGTGTTTATGCTTTCCTGTCTATTACAGTAATTCCTAAGGAAAACTTACCTACTTCATCGGTGTGACTGGTGGTGGTCAGTGGGGCAAGGAACTCCAAAACAACAGACTTAGAAATGGCAGATGGTGGAGTGTACCTGTGTTGCTGAGGATTCAGCCACAGGCCGTTAGACTACCTTTATTGTGAGTCTGGGAGACGGTGTTGCGTTTTGCGAAAATGGGGATGGCAGATTCTTACTGGATCTGAGTTGGCAGCAAAGTCCTGACAGAAATGCATTGCTGGATGCCTCACCTATGATAAAGAAAGCAGAGAGCTGTGCATACAGATACTGTAGAAGCTGTGCTCAGTGTTGCAGTCTGAAGGAAGGCCTCAAAGTTGTCCTCACATACGGGTCAGACTAAAAGTGATACCCTGAATTTGGAAGGTATTGGAAACATTTGCACAGTGTCTGTCCCACATAGCACAGTGTCTGTCCCACATAGCCCAGTGTCTTTCAGGTGACCAAATGTAGATTGCAGTTCCATTATGCATTCAGTAAAAGCACAATAAAATTAGGCCTGTCCTGCACCATTGTCAATGTACCTTATGGTGTGGGGCACAAGGGTATGCAGCATCTCTCATGATGCTCATGGGCATTGAGAACATAATGAATGATCCTCTCCCTTGTTGGCAAGAAGGCACTGGCCTATGTTTTGGCTCTGTGACCAGAGATATGGAAGATAGGGAATATAGAAACTTTATGATGGAGCCTACTGGCTGTGTTTGAACTGACATGCTACTGTCTTCTGCATGAAGCAGATGAAAGGGACACCATGACACTTCTTAGAAGAGAAGTCCTTTAAGTCAAGGGAGCAAAGATCTGTAGGATAGCTTTCCATCAGAAAACTTTGAACTGCATTTTTGGTCTAGTGAACAAGGCAAAATCTAGTCTAAAATAAACCTCAAATAACATCTAACAGAAGACGTAAAGAGCATTGGCATTAAATGGTTTGATATACTAATTTGCTCTAATTCACCTCACTACTTGCTGTGTAAACAATGTCTGTGACACCATATGCGCTCACATTCATGTTTCATGTTATTATTTCACATGGTACTAACTTTATTTTTACCAGTGCACATAGTAGGAACAAGATTGGTAATCTCTCATAGAACAGCAGATTGTGCCTAGGTGACACCTGCATATGTTGCCTTGTGAAAAATCCGGTTCATAATTTTTGTAGCAGAAAAATGAAAAATAAGAAACAAAATGCAATGTTTAAAAGGAAAGCAAATCTTGAGATCTTAAAAATATGTTTTGGAATTTGTTCTTGTCTTTGTGGTTAACTTTTAACTTTTTGGTTAACTTTTAAAAGGGTTAACTTTTTCTTCTGTTCTTAGAAAGACAGTGTGTTAAGTTGTTCTATGAAATAGAAAATGAGCTTTTGTCAGGATTTTTTTCTTCTACATAATTTTGTGATCTGTAGGATCTGAGGCAAATAACCTTGTTTTTTAGCTTCTAGGCATCAGATTGATTTTTCTATAATTTCTCAGTAAAGCAGGTTGGCAAAACAAGTATTTTTTTTTATTAAATAGTAAAGTCCACAAAGTGATAACAACAACCACAAGGATTTTTTCGGTTTTTCCTAAATGGCTAAGACAGAGAAGTTCACATGCCTTAATGCTCCCAGCCAGTGACTGCAGCAGCTGGAGAAAACTTAAACAAATGGTTATTCTTAATTTGAAACTCAATGTACCTTCTGTCCAGATAAAGTTTACCGACTTGCTTACTGTCAGTGTTGAGCATGAAAGCTTGCAATGAATGCATTATTGAAATACATGATGCAATGAGTATCTACAGTGCAAAAGTATCTGTGGCAATAAAAATCAGCCATTCGTTTGAGCATTGCTTATGCTTAGCTCTTTTTTGAAGAGTCTGTGATAATCTGGTGGAATCCACTTGCTTCTGTGAATTTACAAACCAGCTCGCTGTGGAACTTCTGAACGCTTTTGAGTCAATGACAAGCGTGAGTCTGCTGCTAGCAGGAGTGATGCTTGGCTCTTAGTGCACATTCAAGTTCTGAAGGACATTGGGAAGCAAGGTTATTTCTAGGACATTGCAAATTAAAAGTAATCAAGTAGTTTAAAAAAAAAGGAGGAAGGAGTTTGTTTAAAAGCAGTAGAGCAAAGTCCTAGGAAAAGAAAAAAAGGCAGAATTCTAGAGGAACAGCTAAGTGAAAGAACATGCTAAATTCATGAGGTAGACCCTTGCAGAAAGGATTCCTTAGTAACTAAATATATCTTTATGTGGAAAAGGGAGTAAGTTTCCCACAATTCATATGTTCATATACATATATATACACATAAACATTTGTATAGCTAGATAAAAATGTCCAGACAAACTAACAGTATATACTTGTGTACTTAACTTGCAAATAACTCCAGGTGCAGAGGTGGATTCATGACATTTTGCAGTACATGCTGTACAGCTGTCCTATAGCTTTTTCTCATCCCAGAGGTCATACTTGCCAGATTCTTCCTGTGTGTTGTTTATTTCTGTAGGACAAGCATGGATACATCTGTGAGAACTCCTACAGGTTCACTAAATAATTTGGGGATTGAGTTTAGTATCTTGATTTAAGTCATGTAGGCTCAGTTAACTGCTTTTGAAACAAAGAGATCACTGCAATGTTCTTTCTATTGTGTCTTAAAAGATCATTTTTTTCCTGTGAAGAAGAGAAGGTCTGGACTCTCTTTTCTGCACCTTTGTGGTGACAGAAGAGACCACTGTGAACAAGAGAAACAAGACTTGGCTTTGAAAAATTAACTGAAGTATACATAGCTTTGCATACTGAGGTATTCAGTGTGCGTTTTTCACCTGCCTTTTCCTAAGGTGAAGGGGTGAGGAAGAACAGTCTGTATGCTGCACTTAAATCCCGCAAGACTCCATTTGTCGCTCTCCTGTCAGGTGGTAACAATCTGTGCTGTTACATCTTTATGGTACGTAAAGACCTTGTGAAATCTTTGGAAATTCAGTACCCTTCAGCAAGAAAACCTGTTACTTATTTTGACCTTGTTCTGTTGTCTGGAAATGAAGGCTTAAAAGGATGTGTGGACATCACTGTAAGCTATATTTAATTAAGTACTAACATGTCCTTCAATCTTGAATCTACTTTCCCAGCACCTTAAATTATTTGTATAGGTAATCAGAGTTAATAAGTGTGTTCAAGATTTATAAAGCAGAAATATACTCTAGGAAAATAGTATCTGTTCTTTGCTGATCCCATAGCTGATGCCACTTTTTGTGTTAGATAGTATGGATCAATATGTGAGGTTAATTTTCTGGTGTATGGTCTCCACACAAGCTAGAAATCTCTTACTTTCTTATTTCATTTGGATTTACTCACACAGAATAGGCCTTCTGGGCAAAGTTGAAAGATAGACAAGCACAGCACAGGCCTGCGCCTTCTCAGGTCAACTCTTAGTCTGCAGTATATAATTGTCCTCCAGTTAAGATAACTTCTGGTTTTGCGGTACATGATACAGTAAATTGTTGATTGTTTTAGCTAAAGACTTTGTAGACCGAATTCTTATTTGTATGTGTAGGAGCGTGAGAAATCTCAACATATGCTACTAAGAGCTGGTCCTTGCAGTGTCAGTATGTGTCATACATTCCCATATGCAGATGGGTGTTCATAAAGGTAAGCCTACATGCTATGGAAATATGCCTTTATAGATATTAATCCCTTTTTTACCTTTAGTGTATGACTTTCTTACATTTTTAAGTGTATATAATTATCCAGAGTTTTCAGTTGATTTATTCAGCTGTTCTATCCACTAGTCAAAAAGTATTGCTTTGATTTTCTTTTGTATTTTAGAATCCTACTTTATGTATAATAAGGTCTTCTTTTAAGCTCCTTTGCTTTTAATCAAGACATTTCGGAGGCAATGAACACATAACATACCTAATCAGAGTGTATCAACGCTAAATGTATGTGTTTAGCTGAAATTTGGAGAAGAAAGAAATTGAGCTCTTTTCTAGACTGATTTTATAATTTACCTAATGCACAATTTACCTAATGATGGGTAGTTTTCAAACCCTATCTCCACCTTTATTTCATTTCCAGATGCCCAGTATAGTTCTGTATGCAATTTTGGGGGCTTCAGTGGCTTCAGGATCTCTACAAATAATTAAACAGAGAACTCCAGCTATAAATGACTTTCACTAAAAAAACAGAAATAAAATAGTAAAAAAATTAGAAATACTTTTTATTCCTTTTCAAATTTAATTCTATTGCAGAAGAGTTCCATTTTCTAGTTTGTCTGGAAGAACCCCAGTGATTTCCCACTAAATTAATAGAATTTTAAGGCTGGGGAGCACCGTGGTTGATTTCTCTGATATTCTAATAACAAGGAGCAAAAACTTCACCCGGTAGCAGAAATGCACATTTATAGAATCAAATATCATACTAGCATTAGTAGTAAATTACTAAGTCTAATTAATGTTTAAATACCTAATAGATGTTAATTAGATTCTTCATTCCAAAGGGATTAACTCATCACCACCATGCTAGTTAAATAGAAGAGGAAAGCGGTGCGAGAAAAATGGCATTCTCGGAGATAAGAAAAAGACTTTGGTAGTTTTACAGTAGCTATTTTTGTCCGCTGACACGCTGGGCCACATCAAAATTGTTGCATGAATTTGGCAGAAAAGACTCGCTAAAATAAATAGTGCAATGAAGAGGTTTTCATTCTAGCAGGTGTAGAGTAAGACAAGAAGGAACGGGGAGGAAAGCGATGGGTTCCTTCAGCAGTCTCTGTTACATGGTGATCTTACAGTGAAGTTTTATCTCTGTGTGAATATGTGGGGATCAAGATGATTATTGACATTATAAA